TAAAATTATTGCCTATAAAGCTTTCATATTTTTATGTTAATAAGCTCTATAGATATGAAATATTCTTATAATTTTTCCTAGCAATTTTATTGAGGGCGTACTCTATATTCTTAATTTCTTTTATGTAGTTCTAGAATCAATAAAGAGCTACACTTTAGTCATAAAAGACTACGCTTTGGTAAAAGAGCTATACTTTTGTACAAGGAGCTATACTTTGCCCATATGAAGCTATGTTTTGGCATAAAGAGCTATATTTTTCTCAGTTTAAAATCAATGTCTATTAAGCTTTCATATTTTTATGTAAGTCCTATGAATATGAAATCTTCTAATCTTTTCTAAACTATTTTCCTGAGGCTATACTCTACAGTCTTAATTTTTTAATGGCGTAGTTCCAGAACTAATAAAACGGGCTTTGGCTATAACTATACTTTGCTCATATGAGCTATTATTTGCCATAAAAAGATACACTTTACTCTATAATAATGGATAAATAAAAGCCCACCTGTTGGTAAGCGAAAATTCACTGATTGAAAATCACAAAATGATCATGCATGAGTATTAAAAGCTCTCAAGAAGTGTCAATAGAACTCCAAATACATCACAAAATGTTCCCAAAATGAACCAAAATTTTACAAAATACTAGCAACATCAATTGCTTCACACATCATATGGCAAATATTGCATCAAGAAAGTAACAATAGAACTCCAACAAAATCACCAGAACACCAACCTCCATCATTGACGTCTACAAAATCACCACCTCCATCTAGCGCTTCAAGCATAGAACCAAAAAGTTCTCAAGTCCATCTCATGGAAAATTTGAAAGGATACAACACTTATAAAAGTTCTTACAGAGTTCTCAAATTTTATCTCATGGGAAAAAAATTCCTACTTGCAAAGTAACCTTAGGCTTGGAAGGACCCCTCGACAAGTTATTATAATAAAACCCAAAATATTAATATTTAAACAATTAGTATGTATTTCCTATAATGACACTCAAATATTTTCGAATCACAAAATATAATGTATAAATCTCAAATCTTACATGAAAATCCTATTTGAGCAACATTTTTTTATCTTCTTAGCTTGAGAAAATAGGGATTTCATTGGGTTACTCCAAAATAAGAGCAACAAATAAGCACAGTGCCAAATTGATAGGTCAAGAGAAGAGTCGACAATGTTTGGATGAATGAGAGGGATCAATAGTGAATATTTGGTGGATTGACATTTTAGGAATCTGGGGATCGTCTTAGGGTTTTAGTTTTCAGAAACAAAAGAAAAGAGATGAAGAGAGTAAGAGCGTTGGTTATTATTTGGGGGAAAAGGGCAACTTTGGGATTTAAGATTTTTTTCGAAAGCAGTGTACCAAGTTTGAGAGTATTGTACATATTGGGCTTAAAAATAAGTGGATGAGAGTACTTTGGATGTACAAGTGTTATATGTGGGTTTTAAAATAAGTGGGCGTAAGAGTTTGGGTTAATAAGCAAAAACCCTATTGTAATAACAGAGTTATGATGTGTTTGAGTTATTTCATAAGGCTACGTATTACGTAACGTTTAAGACATATTAGGTTACATAACACAGTATAAAGAGTTACGTAACGAGATTGTTTTTCCAATGATGGCATAAACATTCTAATAATGAAGACTATATATATAAATTATTTTGGGTTATAAACTAATGCTCCTAATTTCTATTTTCTAAAAATTATTTATATTATTTGTTTGAAACAACTATTAGAACTAATAGCAAACTTTTCAATACTAAGGGCACAAATAACTTTTTCTTTTCTTCTTCCAGCTCCGTTTCATTTTTATAGTCAAACTCATGAAAAGATCTAATGGTTCGGCGGCCGCAGTGTCTTATTCCAGACATAACCTTTGACCATGTGATTGTCGTTGGACATAGCCAAAGCTGACGCTAATAGCCGGAAATGTTCTATTTTTTACTTCAAGCAATCCTGTCAAAGAACAAGAAATTAAAAGCACGAACCTTTCTGAGCCATCCTCTTCCCTTCATCTCTCTTATCTTCAAAAAATCCTTTTCTTTTTGTTTTTGTGTGTATGAAACTGTGAAGGATTTGGCTATTTATAAAGGAGTTTCAAGGTTCTTGAGTTTTGTAATTGATTTCTCCCATGATTTTAATGAATACTCTAATAGCTCTACTGATGAATAACCTAATAAAAACTTTAGTTACAATTTTTTGTTTTTCTTCTTTCTAAATTCTTCATTAATTGAAAACAACAGTTGTCTACATCTTACACACCTTAAATAGAATTTCATCATTGAAACTTTATGTACCTTGGTTTTCAAAAAGCTCATGTTGTTTTTTGTCTCATCTAGTTATAAAATCAGTAAACAATATATTAGTTATCATTGAAGGAAAATCTAAAACATATTTCTAACTTAGGACTTCTAAACCTAAGCTTTGATATTACAATTTCACACTTAAATAACATATTTTGAGGTGATCATGATACCCCAAAAAAACAGTCTTATGTCGAATATTGATTGAGAGATTGAATGGTTAATGATATAAGTCCAACGAGTCAAGTGCTCTTAGTGCTAACACTTTTGACAGTGGATTATTACAAACAATGAGTTGCACTCCGTAGGTCCCATGACTTACACTGTACCCCAACAAGCTAGCTGGCTTAGGGCAAGACAAATGATATCATAGCAATTGGCTGGCCTGAAGTGTCGAGCTAAGTGATGCATAATTAAGTGCTATATCATGTGAGCATGGTGAGAGCCACCTCTAAAATTCATAGGAGCCACCTCTAGAGACTAGAGTCCACATCGACTGACGATCATACTGAGATGCATCAATTGTTATGCTGTGATGAGGACGCCAATAGATAAGGTGTGTATCAGGTGAGATGATTGTGATACTCCCAAAAAACATAGTCCTACATCAGATATTAATTGAGAGATTGAATGATTTATAATACAAGGGGTCGTAGTGCAACTAGTGCTAGTATTTTTGATGGTGGATCAAACTAAACAATAAGTTACACTTGGTGGGTCCCATAGTTTACAACGCTCCAACAGTTTCGCAGGACCGGGCGTGGCATTTAGTTCACTCATTTGCATCTTAGACAAAAATTCTTGATTATCATAAAATTAAATCTTAAGAGCTCTCCTAATCAAAGGTGATCATTTCTTGCTGTTCTTACATTTTCTATCAAAGTTCTTTAGGAAGCCGTTGAAATGAACACTGGGAGGTATATATTTTTGTGTTTTTGTCTTTTGACCCAAAATTTTACAATCACTTATTTAAAAACCTACCCATTTCCATGAATATCTATACACCCAAAGTACCCATTGTGGCTTATCTATAAACCCAACTGGTCATATGCTCTCAAACTTTATATTGTACTTCCCAAAATATTCAAAAATCCAAAATATCATTTCTTCCCCAAATAAACCCATTGGCTCTTTTTTCTCTCTTCCTTTGTTTCACAAAACACTAAACTTAAAGAGTCGATCCCTAAATTCTAAGTGAAGTTAATACCTAAATTCCACCAAAGCTGACAAACTACATCACTTCATATGAAAACATAGCCCTTTAGGAGCAAAGTATAACACCTTATAAAGAGATATGACTCTTTAAGACTAAAATGTATCTTTTTATCGTTATAATATAGCTCTTTATTGATTCTGGAACTACAGGAAAGAAGTTAATAGTATATAGTATGTCGTCAAGAAACTTGCTAGAAAAACCAGAAGATTTAATATCCATTAGACTAATTAACATAAAATTATGAAAGCTTAATAGGTAATAATATTTGCCTGACCAAAGTATAACGCTTTATTCGAAGACATTGCTTCTTATGAGAGAAGTATAGCAGTATAGCTCTCTACAACTAAAGTGTATCACCATAACGCTTTATTCGAAGACATTGCTTCTTATGAGAGAAGTATAGCAGTATAGCTCTCTACAACTAAAGTGTATCTCTTTATTGGTATAATATAACTCTTTGTTGGCTCTGGGACTTTAGGAAGAAAATATTTAATGAATGCAAAGCAGAATCACGTGAAAACCAAATTAATGCCCTCTATGAAGAGAAATATTAACAGAGAGAGATTTTAAAGGAAGAGGTTGGATAGAAGAGGAGTATGCTAAATTGGGGTTTGGGAAGTAAAGTGAGTGGGTTTTTAAATAAGTGAGGGTAAAGCTTTGGGTTAACAGATAAAAACCCCATATATTTAATGAGCCTTGTTATGAGTTTTATGAGGCTTTACTGTTGTCTCTACAGGATGGAAGGTTCTGACGATATTGAGAATAATATCACAGGTTAATATTCTATCAAACCCTAGAAGTGTACTCTTTGATTGTAAATATACTACAATTTCCTTTTTTTTTTTAGGTATCTACCGTAAATTCCTCTCTTTACTTAAGGTATTACCTCGAGAAGTTTCTGAGGAAGTTACTGGTTGTATCAAAAGTTGGTTTTATCATTACTACTAGCCTTGTCTATGTCCCTTAAGTAAACATTAGATTGCTCATTTAATTGTCTCCTGTTGAGTATTCTTGTTATTTATACACCTTCACCACATAAACTGTTTTGGAACTGCCTAATCATGGAAGCCGATAACGAGGGGAACCTAATAATTTCCACTGGCAACTCATAGGCGCTATGCTCTATTCAAACAGCTAACAATTAAATTCAACTAGAAAATTTTTTGGCTTAACATTTTTTAAAAAAAATTTGAAAGCCCTTCTTTCCTTTGCAATCTCTGAGGGATTGAACCGACCAACTTAAGCTCAAGGAATGACATGTCTTATTTTCATATATTTAAAAAATGATAGGACTAGGTATAATATATCCATTATGGCATGAGAAGTAGCGATTTATCTTGTCTCTTCTGATACCTTCGTCGCATGTTCTCTACCTTGTTTCCCCCTTTCTTACTTCTCCTTGAAATATTCTGTGGTTAATCTATAAATAGGTTTCGCCAAATGAAAGAAAATAATGAAAATTGATATCATTTTGCAGACTGATCAGAAGTTACGTGTATGTGACATTTGCGGAGCTTTCCTGAGCGTCTATGACAGGTAAAGCTCTTTTTTTTTCACCAAGGCACATTTTTTTCCCCTTCCACCATGCCATCTTAGTTAGGTGTAATGGCTTATTACAACCACTAATCTTGAGTTTCATCATCGCCCTTCAAGGCACAAATATGGTTATGTTTCTATGTTCATTGCAGGACACTAGGCTAGCATATCTACGCCATGAGTTAATTTGGGTTTCTGATCTGCGTATAACCCTGGTCACCTGTAGGTTCTTGTGGTTCTATTTTATGAACAAAATGTTTGCAGCGAAATAATGTGCTTCTTTCCATTTATTTAAATATTAGTTTTTAAGAGTTTACTGGGTTACTATTTGCCAAAATTAGCTTGAGCTTTGTCACACCCTGGGCCTGCAAGCCAACCCTGGTACCCGCTGTGTGCAACACATTGTTTGGTTCAATCCACGCCCAAAATTTACTAGATTTTGCACTTGACTCTCAATACCCATCATTTAAATCCTCGTAAACTCCATCAATTTCCTGATGTGGGACTATTAGGGGGCATCACAAGCTTTATAAAGAGTTTAATTATTAACATTGTTATTTATATATTTTGATTGATCTTCATTCCAGTGATCGTCGTTTGGCTGACCATTTTGGAGGAAAACTACACTTAGGCTATATGCAGATCCGTGAGAAGCTAGCAGAAATGCAGGTGAGATTTTCCGATATGTTACCTTGCTTGGTTGCAATTCAGTTTATATGGTTTTGCTTCGTTATTTAGTTGTGTAGTCAGTTACACCAACTTGCTTTTGCTTGGATAAAAAAAGCTGTAAATTTAATGTCTCAAGGAAAACCCACATTGATGCATGTTATACTAGTTATATGGATCTATTTGTTGTCCTGCTAAATTGCTTTGAAGTTCAAACTCTTAACATGTTGGTCAGGTGCTGGTAATGTATCACATTCTGCCATAAAGAGTTTCAGTAATATTTGGCATCGTGAGTTTTTCTACCCTCAACCGAAGATTGCCATGTGGTTAATATTTTATTTCTGCTGTTACTTCTTTCTCAATTTGGATAGTATAATAGTTATTGGGAGGGAACATTTGAAGTACTGAAGATGGCAATATATGGACTAATGGACCCTCAAGAGTCAAAATTCTCCTGCTCCCATAATGACAACCAAAATAAGTGGAACAAACTGTAAGCCAAGGAAGAGTATGCAAAGAGTACTAGATTTGATTGCTGATCCTTTTCTTTCCAAATTTTTGTCTAAGCTCACTGATCTGGTGACCCTGCTTTATTTTTTATGTATCGTTTTAGTTTGGAAAAATGGACTCTCAGCTTTTCTTGCATTAACATTCAGTGAAGGAGCATGAGACATCTTAATTC